TCAGAGCCTTGTTCAAGTCTACTTCCAAGTAGCCCCAAGGGTGGAGATACCACACCTCTCTGGGAAACTTGTCCTGATGCTTGACAAGTGAAAAAAAAATGTCCTGCTTCAGAATAGATCACAGCAAACATGTTAGTCCTGCCTTTTGGTGGAGAATTCAGTGTAAACGTTCTGATGGTAGACAGAAACTCCAACTCCAGTAGGATAAGCAGAGAGGATTGCTCCAAAAACAGTTTGTGGAGGTAGAATGTGATCCTAAACCTTCCTGCAGCATTACAGCCCCTGTGCAGAAACCTTCGACGTGCCTCACACAGTGGGAGTGGAGACTTTGGTCCTCCTTTTTATAAATCTTGATCCAAAATGTGTTTGATGATCCTGTTCATAGTAAAAAGCATGAAGAATACTTCTGTGCTTATTGAAATGACCTTCTAAAATCTATGAAGTACCTTGTTTTATCTTATTCTTTGGAGAATATCTCAAGGAAATTACTTGTCCTCCTGATGAAAGTTGTCTCTCAGTCTGAAATGGAGAGTATATTATTCAGTATTTGAACTTCTCTGCTTTCAAAATTCAAAGCTTTGCATGATCAGCTTAAGACATTTTAGTTGTTGATGCCTTATCTGTCCAGACTTTGTTTCAAGTCAGCTGCTAGCCATAATAAGCATAGTAAAAACTTGAGTTTCAGGTTTGAAATTTTGTTATAATCTTCTTATAGAGAGCCTGATGTTTTGCTGTCCTCATTACAGTTCATCTCTAATGGAATTTACGAAAATTATTTGTGACCTCTTAACCTTTTGTTCATTTTTTGTGCAAAATATTTCCATTAGAGATGGTTATTTAAATGCAAGGGCAAATTAAATAAGATGTGAACCCAGTACTTTTGACTAATCATGGTCAGCAAGATTTTAGGTCTAGGTTGTTCTACCTACATCCTTATAAATATAAGTGCTCCTGTCAGAAAAGCCATTTTCCCTAATTAATGGGTTATTTCTCTCTATTCACAGATCGAGAAGACCAATCTATCCTGTGCACGTAAGTAACCCCATCTATTTTAGTATATCCCAGTGTCACAATGTCTGTCTTTATTCAAACGATTTGGATTCTGATGGAATGTTCTCCTCACCTTCAGGAAGCTTGAACTCCAGTCCCAAATCTGCTTCAGTAGATAGACCTGCTCATAAAATAGAAACACAGGTATCAGTGTCATAGGAAGTCTTTAATGCACATCAATATTTCTTTAAACTGACTTTCTAAACGTAGAGATTTAGGAGTTTATATTGAACAGTTGGGGAGTGTGGCTGTAAAACTGTGTGAGTAGAGGGCATAAGGGATTTTAAAAGATTCCTAGAGGAAGCTGAGGAACATGGAGCATCCTGGATATTTTGAACTGCCTTTCATTTTCAGCTCTTGGTGACTCACCACAACTTCCTAATTCAGCTGTCGTTGCAGGACAGTGGGATCTTTCATACTGTGCTGGTCTGTGATGTTTGCCTGCTCTGTGCTCCCCCAGGGCCGGTGGGTGCCTCCTGCAGGGCTGTCTCCAGGGTGTGTTCTGAGAGGGCTCAGCAGGTTTGGTGGGCTGGGCCTCTCCAAAGGCTCTGCAGGATCACTTTGGGCAGCAGGGAAATACCAACTCAGCCTGTTTCAAACTCACTGATTTTCTGTGCCCTGGCTCCTTGAGTTTTGACCTGGCAGTCCTCAGGCAGCACCAGCATGGGGAGTTCAGCTGCTGTACCGTGGGTCAGGCAGGGATTTTGTTGCAATGAGCTTTGCTGTGCACAACTTATTACTCCACGAAATCTCACCCTTTTGTCATTCCTGCCTATTTGGGAAAATCACTCAAACTGTTAAATTGGACAGGGATCTCCTATTCGACCTTCAGTTTTGACCATTTCTCCATTCCTCTGTTGCTAGTTAGTTGGTTTTATTTGCTTAAATGCTATCAAGGATGGTTTTGACATGATTTTGTGTTTGTTAAGTTAGGCATTTTCCAGTCTTCCTGATCAAAGGTAGGATTTGATTCTATGTAAATGCTAATTTTTGTTTGCAGAAGATGGCATGTGTATTCTTTATAGCAGGTTTATGCAGTGATGCTGTAATCCGTCAAGTATTGTAAAGACAAACTAAACTGGTTTTAGGTTATCTGAGAAAATATGGTTACTGAATGACTGAATACATATTTACACTACAGTTTTTAAAAAGCACTGCTATTGATCACCAGCCATACCATTATTTGTGAGCGCCACTGCTGACTGGAAAAGAATTATCACCTAAGAAAAAGTAAAACTTATATACTGTGTCTGGTACCATAAGAGTAGCATGGCTCTAACCTCTGTTATAACAAGATATGTAAGTATATCAATAAAAATCTGCCCCAAAATGCATTAATACCAAAAAGAAATTTAAAATCTCTGCAATGATGAAGTAAAAATTGACCATCACGTTCTTCCCAGGATGAAACATGTCATGCTTAGGAAGACTAATTTACAATATGCATTTCCTCTTTCTATTTCTGTACTTTAGTTTATTTTTCCACTAGTAAATCTTCTTTTAACTATGGAATATTAGTACTTTCAAGAAAGGGACTTCTTTTGCAAATCTATGCCTTTTTGTTCATGAAAATCCATTTCAGGATCCACTTCTGGCAGCTAAAGTATATTGAAAATACTTTTTTTTTTCACTTGGCCAGCTTGCTGGAAACACAAGGTGCTTCACACCAGTAATACATAAAATAGAGAGAACGAAATGCCTTTTCCATTTTGAAAACCCTCTCCTTTCCCAGCTCCTTTCCCAGTTCCGTGAATTCCCCTGGCTGCTCTCCCACACATCGCTCCCGTAGCTTCACCCCCGGGGCAGAGCTCTTTGCTGAACCCCCCCGGTCCTCCGGGGAGTTGGGTTGCAAGCAAACTTGCAGCATCGGTGCGCTGGCTTCTGAAACGGGTCTCTAGCGGGGCACAGCTGCTCTAGGACAGAGATTTTGGTTCTCTCTGCACATCTCATACGGCAGGACCGAGCCTGCCAAGCCCTAATGGGATTTAGAGCCCCTCGCTGGCTGCTCTGTGCTCTGAGGCTTCCCACAGTGCCAGCACAGCCGGATTAAGGGATGTGTGAACGGGCAATTTTTGTGGTTCATTGCTTACTGAAACAAATGCTGGAAAATAAATTCTGCTGCTGCTTTTTAGATGTTTCCAAAAGTGGAATTAAGCTAGGTCTCATATCATAATATTAACGTAGAAAGCTTTCAAATTTTCAACAGCAACAAAAACTCCACTTTTTAAACCAATTTTCCCCAGTTATTCTCAAATGTACAAGAGTGCCAGTTACAGCACAGGCACAACCCTCAACAGTGGGGCCAACCTGTTAGTCTCACCTTGTCCAAATTTGGAAACCTATTCTAGCTGGGATGATTTTCATTTAAGGTGAAGGTAATGGAGTCATGGAGGATTCAGGAGCTCATGTGGTACAAAAACTCCATTATAGCTGAACACCATATATGTGAACTTATGTGCTTTAAATCCTGTACCAAGTTCCTAAAACAATGTCTGGCAAGAAACAAGGGAAGAATAAATTTAAATTATACCACACGATGTGAGAGCATCCACTTTGGAACATAATTTAGTCTGAGGAAAAGAGGCAGTCAGAAGAGAGGAGCAGGAGCCTCCTGGGAGGAACCCCATTGTATATGGTCCATGTCAAAACAATGTTTGCAGGGAAAAGACCCATCTTGAAAAATTCAGTCACTGAGCTTGACAGAGCGTGTAGATTTTAAAGCAGGTAGGATTTCTCAAACCACCTCACAAGGCAAGTTGTTTCTGCCACCCCCAAAATGTTGGTGCTTTAAGGCAGATGCAGAGAAAATACCCAGCACAACCAATTCTACTGCAGCTCAATAGTTCTAGGAAGAATTCCATCCTGTGAAGTGAACTAAGAGATTCACATGCTCTCCTCCCCCTGGGTCTCCCCTGGTAAGCTTCTTGATATTTACTTGGATCTGATCCAGCCACTCCTCCTCATTAGCTGGTTTTCAAACACATGGTATTGTGCCACTGAGATGAAATCTAGGTGCTGTCACACAGCTGTGATGCATCCTTCACAGTATGAGCTACTGATGTTGTTAAATGGACACTTGTTTATCAGACCTGTCTATTGGCATGGATGTTTAAAAATGATCTGATATGTTAAAATTAGATTTATTCATCAGCTCTAGATATTATTCTTCATTACTTATTGACCCTAGAGATTTTTTTCTTATTGTAGCTGTTGAGATTCTGTCTGTTTTCCATTTCATGTTGAAGCATTTCCATTTCATGTTGAGGAACTTTTTATTGTCTACTTCAAAAGGAAGTTAAAGCCCCAAAGTCTATCTGCAGAAAACAGGAGAGCCCTTAGCCTGTGCAGAAGCAAAGAGTTAAGGATGAAAGAACAGAACAAAATGTTAAGTAACTTAAGCATTACAGTATGATGGGATAATTACAAGTAAAATGATGCCATATATGGTAATACTCACAGAGATTCAGGGGAAAGCCAAATGATGGGCACTGCTGCCCTGGGAGAAAGGAAATGCAATTCGTGGAGTGATGAACTACAAATAACCTTTAATAAAATGGAATAGTTCAAAGTTTGTTTGAAGAAAGTTGTTTTGGTTGTTTTTTTTCCAAAGAAACAAAGTTGTAAGGTAGATTTATTTGAAAACTTTGTATGCATATGTCTTCAAACTGGTGTGCTTGGTTTGGAATTTTTCCCAGGACACTTAATTTTTATCAATAAAACATAGAAATGTTTTAGCACTGAAGCCCAGGCAGAAATGAATCCAACCTCTAAACTGTGCAAATTAACTCAGGTCTTGTGAAAAGGAATCTATTAATCTCAATTATTTCTGATTAAAACTCCAAAAGCCAGAAGAAACACTTCTAATCGTGTTGTACCTCAGGCAGGAATTGTTTCTGGTTTCCTAAGGTTTATATCACTGTCATTCTGTCTTGAAAGTTCTGCCCAGTTCTTACCCATATTTTTATGTCCATTTATCACTGGTCCCTTTCCCTGGTAGGGAAAATTAACTCCTGATTTCCTAATTAGGAAAAGAAGCAGAACTGCAATGGATCCAGCTAAACAGTTTCAGATTCAAAAGAGCTGACAAATAACCATGGGGTTTTTTTAATGTATTGTTCCTTTGTGGGTTTTTTTTAATCCATTTTAGTTTAGATCCAAAGAAAAAGGGGTCCAGCTTACATTTAGATTTGTTGCTCTGCTCACAGTACCAGCTTGACATAGTTGAAAGAACTAGTCTGCTACATCCACACCCAGTTTAATGCCCTCTTTGACAGCTGAGACAGGACAGTATAAAAACGGTTTTGTCCATATAATCATCAGAGCCAGAGGTATCTGGAAGACATAAGATGATGTAACACTTAGAGAGGACAAGTAGCCTGGGAATGTTCTATTGAGAAAAGACCGTGTAAATCTGTAGTTTGAAAACCACTCTTGTGCTTTAAGAGAGGGCTTAAGAGTTGAAAATAAACTTCCCCCTGGAAGTCTTCCAGGAGATAAGAAGTTACTGCTGCCTTCCTGCTCCCCAAGGGACACTGCCCAGAGCAGAGCAGGGATGCCAGTTCAGGTGGTCAGACATCTCCCCACATCAGATGTCCCTTCCTACCCAGTAAGGGACACTGCAGGCAGCTCCAGCCCTGCTCCCTCTGAATTCAAGGAGCATCTGGACACAGAGTTAGGATGAGGCAGAATCATTGTCTTCTCCCCACTGATACAAGATGTTAGTCTACTTTAATGCCAGAGTTTCAGAAGAGAAAACCATTTATTACTGATGATATTTTTTCTTGCTGCTGTACCACATCACAGCTAGTGTTGTCTTTTTTGATCTTATAATATAAGCAGACTCCCTGCCAGTTCCACTTCTCATAAATGTTCAGATGCTGCCAAAGGAAGATGAACTGCTGTTCAAAAATGCATCATGTTTTAGAATTCCCTTAAAATGGCCCAATGTCCACTCCTAATACTGCTGGGACAGAGATATAGCTCTGATAATGCAGTCTTTGCGTGCTGCAGTCAGGTGGATTTGGGAGATGGTGTTCTGGGGTAAATAATAACTGAGCCAGGTGTTTTCCAGTCCTGTTTTTATACAGTAATAACATCAACATGGCAGAAGGAGTCCACTAGTTACCTATCTTCTTTTGTGTTATTTTCTTTCCCCTCAGAGGTGAATCTGGTGCTGGCAAGACAGAAAATACCAAAAAGGTCATTCAGTACCTGGCTGTTGTTGCTTCATCACATAAGGGCAAAAAGGACACCACTGTCACTGTAAGTGAGCTCTTCATATCCAACTCTTCCTCAGGCCTTTTAGGGCTGTGCTGAGGTGACATTGTTAACAGCAAGTCATTGGCTGTGGCTTGTCAAACAGCTGACATATTAAGAGTACACAGTTACATCACAGCTCTATGTTTATGGGGAAAAAAATTTGTTTGACACCATCTTAGGCATCAAATCAGAATGTACCTCGAGAGAACAGAAATATTCATGGCTTTCCATATGCATAGCACCTATTTATATCCCAGTACGAAAGCCTGGAAGTCTGCAAGGGCTCAAGTCCTTATTTTACCCCTGACCTCTGGCAACTAAGAAGTTTGGGAAAGCCTGTAAATAACACATGGTCCAACTGCGTCACAAAAATTTATACCAGCATTTAAACTTCCAAAGTTTTGATTGGATTTGTTAGTGAGTTCTCTTACTAACCATCAAAGAGTCCCAAAACTTGGCTTTTCTTTTTACTCCTCTGTCAGAGGTAACAATTTTGAAAGGCGGAATTTTTTCTAAGTACTTTGTTCCTTCAAAATTCGTCATAGACTTGGCTTAGAGACTGAAGTTCATTTTCTTACTTTGAACCATAATACAAGCTGATACCCCTCCATTTCCTGGAGATCATTAGCATGGCTGTGTCTCTCAACTGTCTTTGCTGTTCCCAGTATGAGCCCAGGTCCTCGGAGCACTCCAGAGCACAGGCTGTGCTGAGACAGACCTTAAAGCAAACATCCATCAGATAGGAGCTGAGACAAAGTCTAATTTGTCCAATAACATGCTGAAAAAGAGCAATTCAGTGATTGGGACTACTGGCACTGCAGTTTCAGCCCTTAAAATATAATGAATGGCAAAATGCTTCAGTTGCACCATGGAAGAGCTAGGGATTTATCACAAAAATGTTTGTCCTTGCCTGGTCCGGAGAGACTAATCTGGAGCTGGGTCCAAATCCCATCCCTTTGCTTCAGGTTGTAGTTTTTTTTTTCCTTCACCTAAAATGCTCTCTATATGTTAATGGTATTTGTACTCTTGTTATGTCTGCAATAGATTGTTTGTATCTGTATTCCTGGTTTATTTGCATGGAAACTGTGTATTGGTTATTTTAATACAGGAAAAAAAACAATAAAAATGTCTGTCTAACGGAAATTATACTGACACTTGTTTTATACCATGTTATTCAATACAGCAAGGTCCATCTTTTGCTTACGTGAGTAACTTAGACTGTTTGGTGTGTGTTTGAGGCACGGAGTGTAGATCTGCATGCTATTGTTGCACCCCAAAAATTTAAGAGATTTGATTGAAATACGTTGTATGATATGACAAAAAGCAACAATAGCACCAAATGCTCTCACAAATCAACCCTAACTGTGTCAGGCTCCATGGCAAAGAATGAGGTCTGACACAGGCAGGGTCATCTTTCAAATATCACTCTCTTCTTTATCTCTCTGTGTTCCAATTGCCATAGTTTGAATTCAATTTCCCACAATCCTGGAAGAGCCTTTCAGCCTGAAATTAAGTAACGTGATTTCTGAATGAAATACCCAAAAGCTTTCTTTGCTTCAGGTTGAACTTTTTAGGACGGTTGTGAAATAATCCCTAAACCTCACAGTGTTTGATTCGTTTGGCTGCATGCTTTCCATTGGTCATTGCTTTCAGTTCCATGGAACTGCTGAGGTTTGTTCACGTGCACAAGAGTCAGCATGTTCTCAGCCTGCTGCTATAACAGTGATTCCCACTGCAGCGTGTCTGCAGGTGTGTTTCAGCAACTTCTGACAGGGAAGCTCCTCTCTTGTGTTGTGCCCTCCCAGCATTCCAATGTTTTGGGAATACAGGCAGGTTTGCTGGCATATTCTTTGTGTTCCTGTGCCAGACAAGTGGGATTTTTTTTTTTTTTTAATGGGGTCTTTTTTCCCCCCCATACTGACTGCTGCCTCTCAGACTCCAGCTATGACAAAGGGCAGTGTGCTGTGTGCCCTGAAGTTAATTTAGTCCTTTCCTTGACAATCTCTCTGCAAAAAAATCATTAATGGTTGATGAGTTGGGTGGACTCAGAGCTGTACACAATGCTGGTCACTTGGAGTCATGGTTTTATCCCCCAAGTTTATGGCATAGTTCAGGTCTCACGAGAAGCAGGCGGTCTCTGGCTCAGGTATATTTGGCAGACAAGGCTCTGTTTTAGCTGTGACCATCAGATTTCAGCAACACCCTCCTCTTACACTGGAGTTTTCAAACCCACAGAGTGTAACTGGACAGAGTTGATCAGTGCAGAGAATCCTCAGGGACTTCTAGGAATTCACGGCTTATTCTAGGATTTTCTGTGTTAGCTTGTTTGGAAATCTTCCCTCCCTTTTTGTCCAACTCTTGGGTAGTAAGGTTTTTAATTATATTTTTGAGGTATTTTGAGGTATATTGCCACAGAATTCAAGAGACATTCAGGAGCGACATTTAGAAAAAAGTTACAAGTTTTGCACACTAATTGGGAAGCACTTGAATTTTCCAAACTATTTCCTAGATTCAATTGAAATATTACCTGATTTTCTAATTAAAATTATTTAAAATATATCATATTATCTGTGAAGGACTTTTTCCTTTTCAGGGTGAGTTGTTTGAAATAACGCATGTTACTACAGAGTAGTACTCAAAGAATAGGATGACAAGAAGCAAATGTGAAAGTAAATGGTTTCATAGGACAGAGCTAAATGAAAAATTCAGAAAAGATGGATATATATACAAAGGATTTTTTAAACTGCATTAATTTGCTTAGAAATAGAATTAGGCAAATAAATGGAATTAAATGCATGCTTGTTTCATTGCATGATTCGTTTCCTTAAAAATTACCAATCACAATTAACAATATAATATTAGGTTTGTGTGTTTGCATGAGAATTCATTACCCTAGTTTGAAATATCAATGCAATTCCATATTTAACCTAAGTAGCCTTGCATGGATCATTATTAATAGACTTGATGAAATCTGCTTTGTAGCTTTGTGCTGCATTACATTAAAATGATTCTCAGCAAGTTATTCTAATTACATTGTCATTTGCTAGCAAAGGATCTCAATAAACTAACTTGGAAAAGACATGCTAGAGGTTCCTTTAAGAATATCCCTTTAAAACCGATATTAAACCGGAAAAAATAATTGACACCGAATGACCCTTTTTTTAACAAAGGCCAGTCATGATGCTAAACAGATTAATAGAGTTTGATCTGTCACAGGCAACAGGGCTGGAAAAGGGTCATGTTTACAGGGCAGCAGTCAATTACACAAATATATAAACACAAAGATTAACAGAGAATGAAAACAAATCCATACGAAATGCAGTATTCAGCAAAAAAATTTAGAGATTTACATTTCACCTTTTACTCCAGTGTACATGTGTTAGTTTAAACTAAGAAATTATTAATTTTAGTGTTAACTGCTTCTGAATGAATTTTAGGGTGAGCTGGAAAAACAGCTTCTACAGGCAAATCCTATTCTTGAAGCTTTTGGAAATGCCAAAACTGTGAAGAATGACAACTCCTCCAGATTCGTAAGTAGGAGAAATCCAGTTGGGTTAGGGGGGGAGGTAAAACACATTTTGAAACCTAGTGTATAGACAGTGGCCCCCATCAGTGCTTCTCATTAAAGAAGGTTTGAAAACTAATCCCTTAAAAACACTGTAGAATTCCTCTCTGAAACAAGAGTTTGGTGTAATAGAAGATTAAAGAACAAGCTCAAATTTGACAATACCATTGTCCTCCCACTTTCTACGTGTGACCTTCCAGAGTCAATTCCTGCTCCAGGATTTATCCACCTTCAGAATATTTGCCAACAAAATCTGTACTTCGTCTTTGCACCACTGTTGAGCGTGTATCTCATAAGGTGTGACTCCAATGGTTAATATATTAAAGGAAAAACAACCTGAGAAAAAATAAAAATGACTACACACATTTGAGTTAGAATGTTGTGAGCTGATGGTTGTCACCCTCTGACAACAATTCTTTCTGGGAGTGCTGGCAGATACCCGTTTTCCCTGCAGACCCTCATGTCCTGCCTCTGCTCTCTCCCTGCAAGGTTCAGGGATCCACGCAGATCAACCTTAGAGCAGAGGGAGTTGCACAATTCCAGTGCTATTCCCTCATTTGCCCTGTGGAAATCAAAGTAGAAAACAGATGCTGTCCTATCCCAGCTTCCAAAGCCAGTAGGGAGAACTCCTTTCCCTCTAAGTGTCTGAATGCAATGTGGGGGGAATTTGTGCAGGGGGGTTATCAGAGAAGTTCCCTTCCTTGAAAGGAAGGCTTTTCCAGGGGTCGTCCCAGCAGGAGGGAATCGAGCGCGTTATTCTTAGGAGGAAGATGTACATATCTTATGAAGCAGACTTAATACTGATATTGGAAAACCTGGCATAACCTGGAAGAATCTAGATCTTTGTTTCATTCACAGGGCAAATTCATCCGCATCAACTTCGATGTGACGGGCTACATCGTCGGGGCAAACATAGAGACTTGTATCCTTTTCAGTGAGCTGCCCTGGAGGCTTAACTAGGGTGAGCAGAGGGAAGCAAGATAAACAAGCTCTACTGCATGTCTAAGAAAGGCAAATATTGCAGAGCCTGGTATAAACAAAGATGGAGGGAAGTGACTCCCTTTGTGCTGGTATCAGCTGCTCAGTTTGCCCTGCTCTCGCATCTACATTTTCAGGTCTGTTTTCCCAGCTATAGGAAAGTGGGTTATTAGCCATAAACAGCTTCAGAAAATGGAGGCACCATACCTAAGGTATGGAATTATATTGTGGCTATTATTTTTATATCTTTGATTTTAGAGGCATTTATGTCTGTTGTGCTTATTACCATGATTACCAGCATTTACCATGCAATAAGAGGTAGGAAATTGAGCTGCTTATTGTGGTAAGAATGATACCAACACCGGAGCTCCTGCCACAGAATTGGACACGTTCACGTTAGACAAGCTCGTGACAAATATTTCTGCAGTGCTGTTGATGGTTCTGAGGTTGATGGCACAGTCAAGGAAGGACTGAAACACATCACTGACTTTTTTTTAACATACTTGACAAACAGATTTGCTTGAAAAATCCCGTGCTATTCGTCAGGCTAAAGACGAGCGGACATTTCACATCTTCTACTATTTGATTGCTGGAGCTTCTGAACAAATGAGAAGTGAGTTACCTACTAATGATTCTCTCATCTCATTGAACAGTCTGAGCAATGGCTCACCTAAGTATTCATCTTCATTTCTTTAATTGTATGTCACTCAGTCCTTTCTATGAATAAACAGCCCTCTAGCTATAGAAAAGAATTGTCTCAAGTGAATTATAAGAAAGCACCAATTGATGTCCCCCTGTTTGAGGCAGGTTGTTTGCAGTTTACAGGAAATTTCAATTTACAGGAAATGTAGACTCATTCAGATCCCATCCTGAATAACATCAAAAAGACAAACTGGGAAGAGTTATTCATTGTTTTACACAAAAGAAATTGGGGGTTCCAATAAGAACATCAGCTTGTGGTTTTAAGATAAATTAAGAGAATGTCTTTCCCACAGCACAGCATTGCTATGAAACCCACAGAAGGCTGAAGAGCCTTTCAGTTTGGCCACTTTGGTTGTTACCTGCTTCCATTCTAATTATTATCT